CAAGTATCTTGTCATGTAAGTGTGTTGTCACACTAGCATTGGTATAAGGTGCTTTTATGTTTTGGAATCAATCCTACGAACCTTGCAAAGTCGTGTTTTCTCCATGCTACGTCATATGCACTGGTCAAAGAACTCATCTGTGAAAATTGTTTTTGCTGGAAGCTTCCCTTTTTGATCTTGATGTCAATCACCTGGTRGGATTGGCAGGTATCAGTATCATCACTTTCAATAATATATGGTTATAGTCGTACATTTTAAGGGTTGAATTCAACATGGCTTTAACACTGTTTTAATTTATGCATACCTTTTAGGAATCGTTTTCAAAACTGACCACTGATCACCCCTACCACTTGGACAAAGGGAGTACCCTCTCCCCCAGGGGCTTACCTTCTTGCAGGTTTCTTCAATAGAGTGTACCCTACTGCTATCACCACTGTCTGATCCATCCTCTAATAGATTGAGATACTCATAGACTATAATGCCTATGGCTTGAGAAGGCAGTCCAAGAATCCTTTTCTGTACACTCTCTGCGATGAACTGCCTGATGTGCAATGCAAGTTCATCTTCACTATAGCATTTGTCAGCTATCCAGTTGTACTGTGGTTGGTCTTCGGCAACTGTTTCTCTAGCTTTGGATTCGGGAGCTTCTTGAGGGGAAATATATTAAAGTTTTACAATTAGTGCACCTAGATAACTGTGCCCTAACTTTGTCCAGCACAGAGGCTATTTCAGGGTATCGTTAAAAAGTGATTTCTTTTAAATTTACGGCTTATTGATTTATTATATAAGTAGCAAGAAAAAATGCTCATTTCTTGCAATTCACTGCATATTTGCTGCATAGACAGATAGCATCATCACTGTGCTCTGTTGACTAATACAGCACAGTTCTTGACCAATCAGAGCACGAATAATAGGGCGACTACATATTATCTGATAAAGAGTATGTTCGATGTTAACACGCTTCATTTCCTGTGTAAGTTTATTCGTTGGTGCAATGCAAAATTTCACCACATTTCGTTTCCCCTTGTCTATAAGCAGGGGTTACACTATTTTGGATGAAAAATGATATAACTGAAGCCATAAAAGACTGCCTAAAAGCAGGATGATATAAATATCATTATAAGACACCTGAAAAACATTCAGTCTTGAGAGAAATAGTCATGGAAGTTAAGGAATTATTATCTACCTTTAGTGTTTTCCACTAGTTCTTTACAATCTTTGAAAAATGCTGCCATAACTGCAAGTCGTCTTAGGAAGAAAAGCTTACTACAAAGCTGGCTGTTTCCACTCCTGTTTGATTCCTATGATAGCACAAAGTTAAAAAAAAACAACTGAGCAGAGCATTCCGTCATGAAAAGCTGATATGGTTGAATTGCACAGGGTAACAAAACAATTTCTCAGCTTTAACAAAATGACATTGCATCTGATCTACGATATTAAATATCTTAGATGAATATTTACTCTCGAATGTCATCTGGTTAGCTCAGTTGGTAAGAGCATCATTCTGTTGTACGGAAGGTAGCGATTCAAGACTAAGGCTGATCAACACTTAGGGTGCTAAGATAACTGAGGAGAAGGTGCTGCCTTTGTTATTTTAACTGCAAATGGTTAGAAGTTCCCATGGCTCGGAAGAGCATGGGCCCATCCCTAATCAACTAGAGACATTAAATGAGGACCACAAGTTTATCTGCAGTTGAACTACTGTCAAGTATCATCCTCTATAAACTAACAAATATGATCTATTTATTTGTACCTGCAGCTTTTTAGCTTCTTGTACAACATCACAAGTTTTATTCCCAAAACTGCTGTTCACCTGGGCTAAGATCGCATTCATCAAATCCAATTCACTTTCAACTTTAGTGAAGAGTCCATTAAAACCTGCCAGTAACATCTGTCCTGCTGACATCTGTTCACTTGACTTCTTCCCTAAAAAAAAGAAAATTGCACATGATGACACATACTGCGGCTGAATGGTAATAGGAAACAATACAATCCCTAAATATGACCCTCAGGCATTGCTGAATACTACAGTCTTGAACTCTCTGTTGCTCGGTTGCTCTTTTGGGCCAACAGTTTATCTGTAACCCTGTTTTACTGTAGGGAGGTAACCGGTCATGACGCCCCCTTGTCATGACGCCCCCAGCCATGACGCCCCCACGTATACAATGATGGGTTTTTTAACCCTCTTTCAATAAAGTTTTTTTATTATTTATTATAGTGTTAGCCTCGATTTTGTGAAGAATATTGTGTTCTTGTGAAGGTACGTGGAATTTTAAAGTGTTTGTATCATTGAAGTTGTGTAATCTTTACTGTTGGTATTAATTTTGTGAATATTTTGACCTTGAATGAGGCTAATGAATGCTGTGGAAAAAAGTCTATTGAAAGTGAGAGACAGCATTAGTCTTTAAACACTTGGTATGGATAACAATTTGCAATAAAGTACAAGCTTGGTGTATCAGGGAACAATTGAGTAGCAAGAAAGTTGGAAGAATCCCCCTTACCGATTGCATTCCTTGACTGTTGGATGGCATCAAACTGCTGCTGTAATATGGATATCTTTGAACTGATGCTGGAGGAATTAACACCCTGTGAAAGAAAAAAGAATTATCATCATAATGTCGGTGATGATGACTGTGATGATTATTATAGTGGTGATAGTGAATAATGATGGAGATGGTAGTGAATGATGGTTGTGATGGTGATGACTGTGATGATGATTATGATGATGATTATGGGGGTGATAGTGAATGATGACTGTGATGGTAGTGAATGATGATTGTGATGGTGATAACCGTGGTGATGGTGATATCATGTTGAAAGTGAAAGTGTATGATAAGATGGCTGGGCCATGCTTACTTTAACTGACCCAACAAGGCAGGGAGGTTAAAACATACCTGGCATTCATGTGTGYTGTTCATCTCAGTTTCTACTGTTTTTGTCAGTGCAGCAATATCTTCTCCATGTACAAGTCTCTCTAAGCTCTCTAACATATGAGTTACGCTAGGATCTCCTGAAGTGAAACTCTTGATGGCCTCAGGAACAATGATATTCCTGAAGTTTGTCATCRATTCCTGCAGGAAAAGAGAATAGAAATCACAATAACGTTGATAATCAAGTGGTWTTGAAATGATGGGAAAATGGTGTTTTGGAGTTTTGTGTAATGTAATGTGCTGGTATAGTAGGTGTGGTGGTGATGTTGTAGTAAGCCGTGATATAATGTGGTGTGGTGGGGCTTGGTGTGGTATGGTTGTGACAAGTGGTAAGGTGGGGTTTAATGGGTGCTGGTGTGTTGGTGATGTTGTAGTAAGCCGTGATATAATGTGGTGTGGTGGGTTTTGGTGTGGTATGGTTGTGACAAGTGGTGGGGTGAGGTTTATTTCAGTTTAGTTTACTTTAGTGTGGTATGGTGTGATAAAATATTATGATATAATGTAGTAWGGTGTAGTGTGGTGGGGTGAGGTTGCTTTAGTTCGTGATGGTATGGTGTAGTGTGATAAGATATGATATGATGCATTATTTTTGTAGCACAAAGCTCATGGTGGTGTATTGTGAATTAAATCAATAATAATGAAATACCATTGCCAATGAACTAGTATAACATTATRTCAAGAGATAATGGAAAATACTTTTATTACCTRAAGGGCAGAGAAGACTTTGTGAACTGCAAAAATGCCCCTGATAGAATTGTTTAGTTCTTCTTTAGACGAACTCTTCTGTTCTTCAATGACCTGCAGTCAATAAACATATCGGTATTCATTATCAATGATAAGTAACTAGTATTCATATGCAGCATTCATCCACTTTTTCTCCTACCAACATAGACCTCTTTCAAAAATATTTGGATGCAAAGGTAATGGTAATTTGTCATATTAGATTTGCACTTGTTCTTTCATATTTTCCAGCTAGCCACATGTGCAAGAAAGCTTGAAGGAGGTCTATATCAATATATCTCTCCCTCACTCCATCTGTCTGTCTGTCTGTCTGTCTGTCCATCTGTCTGAGTGTTTGTGAATACTAGCAGACATCCATCACTTCTTTAGCAATATAGAATTCCTAGTTTATTGCTCACACATCAGCTAGTGTTATACTATTCATTTAATAGATGTATAGAAACTGAGGATAATATGACTGCATATAGGCACTACTCACCAGAGGATGACCTCTCAGCAGGGACAGAAGCTGTGTGACATTACCACTCATTGAACATAGCTCTTCTAAAAACCAGTCACCTTCTCTTGATGTCAGGTCTGACAGTCTGTCACCAGCAACTACAATACATCAAACACAGCATTAAAAGAGAGAAACTAGCCTCCTCCTCTGGCTACTCCATATTAATTTTATTCTCAAGAATGTAATGGGGACAACAGAGAGATAACCTCCAACATCTTATTCCTTGAAATAAAGTCAAAATATTCTCAACCTTTAGCTGTGTTCTCCATCACTAAACATCTCTTGCTCTGAGAACAAAGTACTTTAACAATGACAGAGCTCAGGCATATGGTGGCACTGGGTTGGTTATCTGTAGAATAAACAATAATAAATATGAATGGTTTACAAACAGTTGTCACTTGGAGGTCATACAATTCTCATGTGGTTGTCAAGGTGGTTTAAACACTTGCTGAGTGACTGACAGATAAATGACAAACTAAGTGTAATCAGATGGTTGTCAAGGTGGTTACATACTTGCTGAGTGACTGACAGATAAATGACAAATTAAGGGTAATCAGATGGTTGTCAAGGTGGTTACATACTTGCCGAATGACTGACAGATAAATGACAAACTAAGTGTAATCAGATGGTTGTTGAGTAGCTGTCAGTCAAATGGTTTTCAGCTATTGTTTACCTGATACATATTTGTTAAGACTGGCAAGTGATGTGCTCTAATTCTTGATGTTCTCTTGGACAGGCAGCTTGTTTAGCCTGTTCTAGCCTCTTTATAATAGAAAACATATTTATCACACAATTTGCTCCTGAAACACGGCAATCGGGCCGTCTTTAAAGTTCCAGCATGTTTTCACGAGATATTGTTTTGTCTTGTTATTGTTGTGCTTCGTTTGTAAACACTGTGACGTAATGTTATTATGCCGCATTGCATCATGGTTTGGGACACCACAGGAAACCCAATACGTCCTGGACTTTCGAGCTACAGTTGACCTCCTGTAAGCGACCATCCCGGGGCCAGGAGAAAGTGGTCGCTTAAGGGAGATGGTCGCTTACGAGAATGGTCATTCAAAGAGAGTCGACTGTATTATGAGTCGTCAGTTAAGGATTTTTCAGAAAATTCTTAATCGTTTCAGGTAAAACGTCACAACCCTGAAGTCAGCTGTTTCTTGAACAGGGATTGGGATAGGAGTAGAGTAGTGGTGACGTCTTGCAACCATAACAACGACTTTTCTGATGACAAACAAACAAATATGGCGGCCGTTGTCTTCTCGTGACATTTCGAAGCCATTCTTGTAAGTTTTTTCGCTTTCCAAAAGACCCTGCTAGAAGAACAAAATGGATAACTTTGATATTAAAGGTGAGATTTAAAAGCTATTTCGTTATGGTATGCGTTACGAAGGATTTTAGCGTGACAAAGCTGACCTTTGTTTCATAAACAAAACCTAATACGCTTGAGATTAGTCCATAAAACGTGTAAATAAGTTATCGTTTCTTTTTAGGAGAAAAGATAGGGAGCCAGATGACACCGTAAGAGCGTGCAGCTGCCATTTTCGTGACGGTGTCAAGGCAAACTGTCCCGAAATCTTTGAGTGGAATAGAGAAAAACTCTTCCCAGCATCGGACGAAGCGAAAACGACTAGTAGACCAAAGAAGATAAAAGAAAATCATGAAAAGTGCGGATGTCTCAATGATTTACAAGAAAATCAAAATCCAGAAACAGAAAACTTGGACACTTTAAATGTAAAACACCCAGCAGAAGCAGAGAATGTGTCATCCTTCAAGCGAAACTAGACAACAAGACACGAGAACTAGAACACAAGAACAACAATCTTACAAAGAGATCATGCTATTCTGCCTCAACGCTTAACGAAGATGTTACACGGCCTTCCCAAAGGATATTTTTCATATTGTGGTCAGATATGCTGAAAGTTTTAACAGTGTTTTTAAAAAGATGTTGTTTAAAGGCGTTGTTTTGGGGGCGGTAACGTTTAAATTTATATTTAGCTTCCCAACCCATAATATCTATGATGCCTGTCAATTATCTGTCACAGGTTTAATTTTCATCCAATCATAAGCCACATAGCTATCACATGTTGTCTGACGTAGACTCTGGTTACTGAGAGACCATAAAAAACATTCTTGATCCTAGTCTGGGGCACAAAGTGGAAGTCGAATTTCCATGTGCATTTGTCCTTCTTCTTCTCCTTGCTGTTCAAGTAAGTTTTACATGTCAATTTGTATCCGAGAATGCATCAATACATTAGTAGGTCTATAGGGATATGTTAAGATAAGATTTAGTGTAAGATATGTGCAACATAAAGTGCTATAAATCAAGAATACCGTAAATGATCTAATGAACGCCGGGGGCGTTTTGAGTTGTAGCTGGGAAAAAATCCTCACTTTTTAGTAACTAGATAGCTTGTTTACGATAATATGAATCCATATTCTCTTTTTCTCGGAGCTTACTTGTTCCGTTTTCTTAGAAAACGGTGCTAAACTTTGTATCGAAGGGAGCCGTTTTGCTTATTTCGTGTGCAATAATAGAACACGGTGCTAAACTTTGTATCGAAGGAAGCCGTTTTGCTTACTTCGTGTGCAATGATCCGAGAATACTTGTATAGGTAATTGATCCTTTTGAACATACGCTTTGAAATGAACATCTCGTGGCCCACGCAGAGCAAGTAACATCGAAATTTGAGTCCCCAATGGCGGCTGAAATTGGTTCGATGAATTAAAAAGCTTGCCTGAATAATTGCAGTCGATTAAAAGTTATGGTGTGGTTTCGTGTTTCACTGTCGAAATACGCATGCGTTCAAGGCCGTTGCTATGAATGACGTCATTTGTTTGGGACGCGATACAGAATTCAGATGAAGCGACGTGTGAGCGATATAATACCAAAGTTTTCCGATAGTTTTTGTGGCTAGATTGACTTGATATCATAATTCATGACGTAGTTCGATGTCAGAAACAATATGGCAGCGAATTTTTTCGTTTGAATCCATAATTGAAGAAGTATGGCAACTTTAGCGCATTAAAGCACCACTTTCCCTCCCGTCCTTCGGTAAACTCTTTTGTATTTATTATACTATCCTTAAATTTGGAACGAAGGTTAAATAGACCTTAAAGATATACCTATTTTGATAAAATTTTACGACCGAAAACCATGTCACGGTAGTTTTAGCTTGCCAAAAAAAATATTTTGCTCCGGGCTGCCTAATTTTTTTTCTTTATACAATTTATTTTCATAGCTCAAGTTTGATATATATTTTTATAACATTTTCTAGATAGAGATATTAATAGATTACTGAAAAAGAGCCTTGGGTTGCCTGCGTTTTTTTGACACCTTAATTAGGTGTGAAATTTCACACTTTTGACGTGCAATTTCGAAAGGAAATTTTATTTATACATTTATTGTGAAGTACTATTTTAGCTGTATTGGATACAGTGTAAATAAAGTTTGTAGAAATGACAGCCACTTTACCCAATTCTAATACCTTAATAACAGTAATTAATATTGGTTTAAGAGACTACCACAGGGTCTGATACTGAACTTTCATAAGAAAAATATATTGGACAATTCGATAATTTGTGCGTTGGTTATTATTTAAGAGATATAAGACAGTTTTCTGTTTTAGATATACTGGTCTAAATACTTGCCGACAAATCACTAGCCTCTTATGTAGTTATATCTTTTTAGCCTCTTATGTAGTCGTTCTTTAGGGGTTATTGTCACGCATTGCATGACAGACCTAAGAAGGTGCCTACTTGCTGTCTGTTYTGTTGTCTAGCATAAAGTCAAATCATAGGTGTCATTTTGTCCCTCTTCATATTCTCCTCGCTGTTCAGGTTTCATATATCATTTTGTATCAGTGAATGCATCAATACATCAGGTATTCGTTATCATTGAAGGCCTGATACTCATGCCAGGTATTCATATACATATATGTTCACATAGGATTTTTTCAGCTTATAGGCATTGTTTTATAATGTCTATGATACCTGTCAATTATCTGTCACAGGTTTGATTTTCATCCAATCATAAGCCATATAGCTATCACATGTTGTCTGACGTAGGCTCTGGTTACTGAGACTATATAAATATTCTTGGTCCTAAACTGTTTCATTCGTCTGGGGCACAAAGTGACAGTTCAAGTTACATGTCTCTTTGTCCTTCTTCTTTTTCTTCTTCACATGTTGTCTGACGTAGGCTCTGGTTACTAAGACTATATAAACATTCTTGAACTTAATCTCTGTTTCATTCGTCTGGGGCACAAAGTGAAAGTCAAATTTCCATGTCTATTTGTCCTTCTTCTTCTTCTTCTTCTTGCTGTTCAAGTAAGTTTAACACGTCAATTTGTATCCGTGAATGCATCAATGCATTAGTAGGTCTCTAGGGATATGTTAAGATAAGATTTAGTGTAAGATGTGTGCAACATAACACAGTGCTATAAATCAAGGAATATTGAACTTCTAACTGTGTAGCAACAAGATGTCGATATCAGCATATTGTAAAAGAGTAGAAACTGATAAAGATTATATTGATCGTTGCTAGTTAGCTGTTCAATATCGTTGGTAAGTGAAAAATTTGATTCAAGATTGAACGAGAAGCTGTAAAGGGGTGTGCATGTTCTAATGTAGCAGGTACATCAGTACTACATGATCAGCTGATGATGTATTGTAGATCTGTAAATTGAATATATATATGTTATTTACCGGCCAGGAGGTCTGGATAGGGAAAAACTGTGCCCAAGGTATTGAATATACGAACCGAGGCCAATAGGCCGAGGTCCGTTGTCAAGACCGAGGGCACAGTTTTTCCCTATCCAGACCAACTACAGGACGGTGAATAACTTTTTTTTTTTTTTCCCCGTATTTTTTTACTTGTTTTTGTAATCGTTTTGTTTTGTTGTTTAGCGGCAAAGGATACCGGAGCGCGGGCAGATACTGACAAAATACCGCCTGCTCAAACAGCCAATCAGAACGCACGATTTTTCAGGATACCGGACCAGAAAAAAATAAAGTCTAATATTTAGGTGCAGTTTACAATCAGTAGTCCTGATATTTGCTAAGAAACAACTCATTTGCAGATGCCACATTCCTGTGATCATCAAGCATATCATAAATCAGATTGAGTAATCTTCTAAGATTTTAGACTTGAAGTCATTTTCCTTGGGTATCCTATATCCTCAATAACAGTAATTAATATATATGGGTTTGAGAGAATACCACAGTTATTCAAGAAATCCCTAGAATCGACATGTGCACTCGATTTACAGAATTTAGATTTCAGTTTACTGTTTACAGTAAATATACTGTACATTTAGGAATTTTAGATGAAAATAATGTTAAAATTTTACCTCTAGCAGGGTTTTCAATAGAAGCCGGCAACCGGCAGATTCTGCCGTCTACTCTTGCTAATTCAGCCGCCTACTCAGCCACTTCCCCATGTAATTGTAAATTTTGATTAAAGTTCTTTAAAGTTCATTAAAATAAATTTTAACCCAATCTTTGTTGCTGTACTACGAAAACTGCAACGCAATCAAAACTACGACAATCGTTGTCCGCCATCTTGAATTTTTGTGTGAAGAGTGAGACTGGTGACAAGTATGCCTCGATTACATGTTCAAGTGAATTCCAGTTGACTGCCTATTTTAATTTCATAACCGCCTACCAAAAAGTTTATTGAAAACCCTGCTCTAGGTTATATGTTCTAGGAGTTACTATCAAACTGAAAGCTTGGGTGGGACCAGACGTCACGTGACATCAGAGCTCATGTGATAATAATACAATTTTATGATAATGCATGTCAGGAGAAATGTGTGACAGATTTTCTCTGTTTACTCTCTTAGATCTGGTATTAACCCTTGATGTATCATGGCCAGCCAAGAAGAAAGGTGGGTGAATTTAATCCCTTGGCAAAAATTAAGTTCTGAATTCTGAACACATATTCTGGTTTTTGTGTTAAAAGCATCTGTGAGGAAGATTTGGAGTAACTTGTCATCATTTTTTGATTGATTTTCGAGGTTTAGTTTAATTATTTGGAAGACCAATTTATTGTCATTTTATAATCCTATGTATTTTTTAAACCAACCATAAAACTTATTGCATATGGTGTGGAAAGCAGAGTGTTAATTTTTTTTTCAATTTGGTGTTTAGCAGAGATAACTACTTCAGCTTGACTCTTCTTCTGTTTCGTGTTGGGAACCAAAGGTTACGGGAGTATTTCAAGACACAGTGGCCAATAGTTTACCAGCGTGTTAGACCTGGTACAGTACCACCCCCTTGGCAAGACACACCACATGATGCAGCAGAAATGAAAAAAATACAACCATCCAAACTGAAATTCAAGTTCAAAGATGAAGAAACAAAGTTTAACTCAGGAAACACAAACGACTGGGACTTCTCACTTCTCACCTCAGTGCTGCGATATTCATCTTTGCAATTTGTGCTGCCTTCCAGTCCTGAAAGTAAAGCGTTAGATGATCTTAAAAAAATCTGTAACGAACTAATAGGACATGCTGCTGATGCAGCAATAACTAATGCAGATTTTAATACAGCATGGACAGACGCCTGCAATGCATTAGCACTATTCAATGCATCTGCTGATGACTTCAAGTGTGTACAAGATGGTATGTAGTCATCATTTGTGTTATGTTATAGATATCAGTATATAACAGTTTTGTTAATGTGACATGTTTGTTTGATGAAAGTATCTGTACACTAAAAGTGGCAATATATATAATTATGATGTATRATAATCATGTAACAGTTTATGACCAGCTGACACATGTCAGTCAATATTTGGCTGACTGATGTACGTTCGCCAATGGTCGACCAATGCTTCACCAACACTTACCCAACACATCACCAATACTACATTCACTCACTCACTCATACTTACAAAAGATTTTCAATCTGAGAATATTTGAATCTAGATTTATATTATGTCAAAAGCTTTTTATGGAATACATGTATATTTAGATGACAGTTACTGCATTATTGTTGATAAATAGGAGTTTTAAGTATACTATATAATGTTCCTGACAACGTTCGTTCTTGATATTGTCAAATACAGATGTGAAAAAGCCATTGGATGTGTTGTACCCAATGCTGAAACAGTGTGTTGAACAAGAGAAAGAAGTTAAAGATTCTGTTGACACAAGTGAGTTAACACCATGTTAAGTTTTCTTAAAGATCTTGTTGAACAACAAATATTTTTTTCGAACTTTGATTCATAAAAAGCTAAGATAGTATAGGCTTGACTGACAGTAAGAATTAAAATAAGTGTGTAAGATACCAAGCAGTTTTCATGGTTATAATTAAACTCATCATCAGTAATGAGACTGGGCAAAGACACCTACACTGCTATGTAGGTACGTGTACCACTTGTACAGTGATAATGAGGGGGACCATAGCAAAGTGCATGGTATGGAGCAACAAATAAGATCTGCAATGATTTGCAAAAAAATATATTGCTAAGGGAGAGATTACTGGCCAACATGCCTCATTTTTAACTAAGACTAAAATATGTTTCAAACTCATGAAAATTATGAAGTGAATTGAAGCAAAGTCTTTATTTCAAGAGGGTAACACCTAAAAGTGAGACACTTGTAAACTTTTAGACCTCAAATAATAATATTTTTACTTAAATTAATATTGGGAAAACTCTGAATTTACTATTCAACTATTTTGCAATAGTGATCAACAGAATAGAGAAATTACAGCAAACAGTGGAACAGCAGCATACAACACTACAACAAACAGTGGAACAGCAGCATACAACACTACAACAAACAGTGGAACAGCAGCATGAGACACTACAGCAAGTGGAAGTGCAGCATACAGCACTACAACAAACAGTGGAAAAGCAGCATGAGACACACTTAGAAGCAGCAAGAAACATTGAAAGAAAAGGTAAGACAAAATATTTTACCTACCTAGTAATTAACATTACCTTAGGGGTCACTCATTATTTATGTCTAGAGGAGCTGGTAAAAAAGAGGGGAGGCTGCCATGAAATATAGAGAGAAAAGGGGGGTGGCCTAAGTTATGGTGTCAGTTAAAGTGATAGGACATGTATATGGCATGAAGTGGATGGTATGGTGACTGTAATGGTCCAGTCAGGTTATGGTGTGTAAGATGTCAGTTAGAGTGGTAGGACATGTATATGGCATGAAGTGGATGGTATGGTGACTGTAATGGTCCAGTCAGGTTATGGTGTGTAAGATGTCAGTTAGAGTGATAGGACATGTATATGACATGAAGTGGTTGGTATGGTGACTGTAATGGTCCAGTCAGGTTATGGTATGTAAGATGTCAGTTAGAGTGATAGGACATGTATACATCATGAAGTAGTTGGTATGGTGACTGTAATGGTCCAGTCAGGTTATATTGTTTGTAATTAGCATAATTAATATCAGTGTTTTTCCTGTCATTCTTAACAGTTGATCTAGTGTTGAGTCAAGGGCAACAAGGTCAGAAGAGGTCATCAGCTGATGTCCAGCCAGGTTGGTTTTTCTGAATTTGAGTTGGATTTGTTAAACTGCAGTTCATAATAGTATAATTTTAATTTATTCTTTACACAGCACTTTCCAGTAAATTCTAAAAACCCTTTACATATGTTTAAATAGAACAACACTTCCAAGTTATAAAAAAATATATTGCAAATAATCTGAAATACAAAACCATTGTGTGTCATTACCAAAAAAGCAATGATAAGGTCCAGATTTTTTGAATGTGTATGGGTCAGATAAATAGGAATAACATTTCAGAGTTGGGTATGCATGCAGTGAAAAAAGATATCCATTTGTGCATTTAATCCTCCACACCTATCCAAATGTAGCTGTTTTGTTGCTTATGGTGCTTCATGGTGTTTTCATTCTTTACCACTATCTTATTAAACAAGTTGATAAGAAAAACGTTTTGACAGTGCAATAACTGTAGCCGGGGCCACTTAGACCAGTTAAACAAGAGAACCTGAATTAAAATGTGGAATGAAAACAAATTCATTTCAACTTTGGGTAGTAGAGCCAATCAGAAACCTAGATTGTATGAGAATGGTAATTTGACCCTGATGTTACGTGTAAACAACTAGATAGACATCATCATTTTCTCATGGCAATAAAAGAATATGTTGAAGGGTATTGTGTTCTGCTACTTTCTGATTGGCTGCACTACCCAAAGTTAGAATGTATTGATTTTTGTGTTTTTAGAGGAAGATGTCAAGACCGAAAAACCAAGAACTACAATCAACAACAGAGAGGGATCATGCTGAAGGTATCTTTTACTTTTCTACATGTTTTCTTTTACATACTCATGTGGTATATAGTGTATAGATGTATGGATGTACTTATCTGGTATATAGTACCGGGGCATATGTGGCGCGTTTTAGGATTGCGGATTTCTCGTAGCGTTTCTTGTAGCGCGCTACAGGCCTCATTTCCGTGTACGTATATGTCATAGACTGTTTTCTCAGTATTTCGAACTGTCTTTCTATGTATGATGTAGAGTATGGCTCTCTGCTTCCAATTCCGAACAATGCTACGACCCTCAAACCATACCCTGTTCAGCAGATCATCCCCGTATAGTCCATATATGGGAGTACCCCCCTCCCCCCCCCCACACGGGTATATAGTATATAGATGTATTGATGTACTCATCTGGTATATGGATGTACTCATCTGGTATATAGTGTATAGATGTATGGATGTACTCATCTGGCATATAGCGTGTAGATGTATGGATGTACTCCACTGCTATATAGTGTATAGATGTACTCATCTGGTATATAGTGTATAGATGTCTAGATGTACTCATCT